CTGGATCATGTGGTTCTTGCTTGTTTTTGCCATCAAAAGTCCATAATGGCAGCCTTCAAGGAGTCTGGGTTATCATTGAGAGAAAGACCAACGGCCACACAATACCAAAAGATTAAAAAAAAATCCAATGTGTCCATAAAGTCTCTTTACAATTTAAAAATATATTACAAAGGCAACTGATGAGATATCTTAATCAGATTTGTTCTATGTATTCAGCAGTTATCAAAGCTTTTAATCACATTGCATTTGTGCATTTCAGGTATCCTGTTGTTAAAAGTGGTACTGTTAAATGAATCCTTAACTTTTCCAGACTGGTGGATTGAAAAAGATGGCCAATTCCCTGGTATTCACTAGATATCACTCCCTTGGACTTCTTTCTATGGAAGTATGTTAAAGATATAGTGTAATGAAGAAAGATACGGGACATCACCGATTTAAAGCAAGAGATCACTGGTGTCATTGTCACCATCAATGAGGCTATGCTACAGAAAATATGTCAAGAAATCAAGTAGTCTTGATGTGCTTCATGCAACTAATGGCACCCATAGAGATTTGGATTAAATTAGTTTAAAAAAAAAAAAAAAAAAAAAATCAATATCTTCTCATTTTGTAACAATTTCCACATATTTGTCTGTTCATTTGCTTTTGTAATAATTTTTTTTAATTGTCAAGAGACTTTTGCAAATGTACTATATTTTTTATTGAATATCTATTTTCTTTATAATTTTTTCAATTACCTGATGTGCTGATATATATATATATATATATATATATATATATATATATATATATATATATATATATATATCTCTATCTCAATGCATAAGTGTTGAGAAATAAAAATGTATGTGTATAGGAAAAAGGTTTTCCTTTTGAAGTTATAAAGAAATAAATCACTTCAAAAAATTAAGTGGAAGAGTGGGGGAAGAAAACAAAAAGTGTGTGTGTGTGTGTGTGTGTGTGTGTGTGGAGGGGGGGACCTTTAACCTTCATGTCCACAAATAATTTGGCATATATCAAAACAACGAATTTTCCTTTGACACTGCTATTATTTTAATTATCTTAACTCATTGGCAATGTTTAATGTTTTAAAAACAGGTGATTAGAATTTTAATAAAGCCTAAACATTTGATGAAAATGAATTTATACTTTTTGTTCTCGGGAATTTACAAAAATATTAAAAACTTTATAGGATTGCTTATTGTAATGGTTGGCAAAACATTGGCCAGTTGATTCAAAGTTTATATAATGGTAAATAATAAAGTTGGTTTACATATTTTTTAATTTAGTAAATTTTTACAAATTTATGAATAAAAAATTGTTTTCATATTTATTTCTTTATAAATTGGTAAATTTGAAAATATTGCACTGTATTAGTTTTTAGAATGTTGTAAATATAAAATGATTCTTTTAACTAAACAATCTAATAAATACTGTTTAATATTTTTATTGTAAATTCTCAAGAACAAAAAAAATATATAAATTAACTTTCATTATAGTTTAGTTCTTATTACAATTCTAATCATCGCTTTTTAAGGTGTGAAGGTAGTTATAATAATAGCAGTGTCAAGGGAAAAACCATTCTTTTGACACCCAATTTTTTTGTGGGCACAATGATTAAAGATTTCCCAAAGAGCAATAGGATTATTTTTTAAAACTTTGTCTAGTAACAGAATCTATCAAATCTTACACGAAAATCATTTCAAGAGAAAGAAATATTTAGAAGCAATAAACAAAAACTGGCAATGAAAGAAACAGAGGGTTTAAGTGGGGAATAACATCATTTCAAAATCACAGATTTTGTTTTAAAAAAAAAAAAAAATAAAAAAAATAGAAAAAAAATAAAAATAAAAAGTCAATTTTTATTTACACCACAAAGCATTCTAGTAAGTTTGGAAGAATAGACAAGTTTGTTTTTAACCATCATCCACAAATATCAGAAAAAAAGAAAAGAATTTGTTTCTTACTTGGGTTAGAGAAAAGGAGATTAATTAAGATATGCAAAACCCTATGAATTTATTTATCTTTTTTGTGAAGAGATTTTCAAAAAGAAAAGAAAAGAAAAAGAAAAGAAATGAAATAAGATGAAAAGGAAAAAAATTCTTTCAAAATCCAGTAATCATTCCCTGAGAATGCTTCTGCTCTCAAAACAAAAGTAGATTAGGATTTAAACTTGATTTTATAAACCTTGCAATTAAAAGCTACAAAAGTAAAATGAAATAAAAACTAGTCAAAAAGTCATCATAACAAAATGTATCTACATACATGTGTTACTCTCTAAAAATGTATAAAAAACAATTTGCCCATTTAGTAATGTAGTAGAAATAAAAGATGTTAAAATTGTGATTAGTTTTACAGGATCAATTTTCAAAGATATATTTAAATATAAGCATATATTAAAAATTAGTTTTAAATGTTTACATTTATAGAATGATGACAAAGCAGAGGAACAATTGCTATTTTGATGTCATTTTACTTTTAGTTTAATAACTGCTCTGTCATATTTATTCTCCTGTATGGCAGTGAATGTTTGATATTAGTTGATATTATTGATATGTTTAAGAATTTCCTTATAGACGAAGAAGAGACTCTAAGACAACCATGATGGAAGTAAACGAGAAACAAACAAGTTCTAAAGAAATTGGGAACTAAAAAGAAACATCTCTGGGACACAAACTAAGGAAGAAAGGTTTGGAGAATTTAATACTCACAGAACATTTTGAAAGAAGAAGAGGCAGAGGGAAACAGTGAGTAACTTTCTAAATGAGTTGTGAGTAAATGAATGGCAGAGGATGGGGGAGAAAGGGGATAAACAGTCAAACATTGTTTAGAGTTAAAAGGGACAGGAAATTGTGGAGAGCCATGATTGCCAAAGTCCTGAAGTGCCATGGCCGTGTTTCTAAGTGTTTCTACTATGAATCAATGGCCCAAAGTAAGCTTGTAAATTATTTGACCTTCAATTTTTTTTTTTTTAGGCAATTCTTTGAAATCTAGAGACTGACTCCAAACTTTTGGTAGTGTGTGTGTGTAAATATTCTCAGATAAAGTGTATTTGTAGGGGAGACAAAATGAATAAAAAGAGACAAGAGAAAAGTGATAAAGTCCCTCGGAGGATGAAATGTGTCGGCTAAGAAAAATTTTTCCTCTTGCCTCTACACACACATATATATATATATATATTTTGTTTATTTATTTAATCATTTCACCCCAAGTAAGGTAATAAAGTCATTAAGATGTAAGGGGTTATTGAGTGTGAGAGAATAGGAGAAAAATAATTATGAAGGAGAGAGATCAATAAAAGAAGAGGTATTAAGAAGGCAGAAGATAACGATTGACATTACATTTAAATTTTTGAAGATCAAAGTTGACAAGAAAACAAGAAATTGGAAGAATGTTCCACAAGTGAGACATTCAATAGAAGAAACTATTAGCATAGAACTTGTGGCTACATGTAGCCATTTCAACTGTATTCAATCTATTACACACAGCTATTTCATCTGACTGCCTAAGGTATTTTTCAATATCAATTTGAAAAATCAATTTCATCTCATTCTAATTACTGAGCTGCTTGGTCTTGTCAAAAGAGGAATACATTCCAGACTAATCAAGTGCAAAAATAAAGGTGGGGGTTTGAGTTAGAAAATTCTATCGTTACTGAGAGAACACAGTATGTAATGTATATTAATAAGAAACTGCAATCTTTGAAAAAAAAAAAAAAAAAAAATCTAAAATGGATAACATTACCAATGGGATTCATGGTCTTTTGGGAGATCAATTTTGGTTATCAGGAATAATGAATATATCATATGCCAGGGAATGAAGGAGAGAAATGAATCATTTTTAGTGACTCATCTCTATAGATTATAAAAACAAAGAAAAATATAAAACACTTCTCTTTTTTTTCTTTTTATAGATAAAAACTAAATAATTTCTTCCATAAGATTCAAAAATGTAAATGAAACAAAATAAATAACATCTAGTTATTATATGTAGTATTTATTTCATCTTCATTTTACTTGCTTTTCCTTGCATCTCCTCTGACCCTCAGTCTATGGCCATCAATAAACAAGTAGTAATATTATCTTGAATTTTTATTAGATGAAGCATTGTCAGCCATTATTAATTTTTGAATAGTATTTCTTTCATCAAAAGCAAATAAAATATTTAAGTTGAAAACAAATATGAGTCAACATTAATAATAAAACCTAAACAACTTTTTGTTTTAATTAAAAAAGAAATATTTTACATTATTGAAGAGCTACATAAACTTATTTGTATCCTTGAAAAAAGAATGATATCTGAATTTATAGCTGGAGTGATAAGAGAGTCAATCTGTAGAAAAACTTCAAAATTCTTACATCAGCTGAACTAAATTACATTTTAGTCTAAAAAGCTGGACAGATAAATTTTGGACATTTCTTCATTTCTTTTCTTTCTTTTGTATTTTTTTAAAACAAACAAATTATCTGGCAGTGGTCAAGGAGCAGCCAATGGTCAAAATGGAATGAAAATGACATTTAAAAAAAAGTATGAAAAAATGCCAGAGATGACCAAGGCTGCACGTGGCATATTTTGAGGCCCAGGAAAAAGAAAATAATCAATTCTCATATTTATAAGATTAAAAAAAAAAAAAAAAAAAAAAAAAAAAAAAAAAAAGAAAAAAAAAAAAGTGCAAAAATGAAATAAAAACAAATCCAAGACTAAACGAGAAAAAAAAAATTCTAAAAATTAAATATTTAAAAAAAATAAAAAGAAAAAGGTAAAATATTTTAAAATTTGAAAATTCAGTGTGCTCAAAATTTTTACAAACTGTCATTAAGAAATATAAAATTGACAAAATTGAAAGTTAAAAAAAAAGAAAAAAAAAAAAAGAAAAAAAATGTCTGTAACAATATTTTTGTTTTAGTCGTTAAAATTTGAGGCCCCAAATGTAATTATAATTTCTCTATTTTTATTCTTTCTTAAAAGATTTATTAATAAAAATAAAATAAAAGATACATTTACTTCTTCCTGAGAAAATAAATGGCGAGAAGTACAACAGCCATCCCACCAATGAATGAACATGTGTACAAATAACTTCTTTCATTCCTCAAATTTTGTGAAGCAACTTCTAACTGGAAGAAACAAAAAAAAAAATAAATAAAAAATAAAAAAAAAAAACAAATTTAAAAACAAAATTTTATTAAAAATATTAAAAACAAAACATGGGAAAAGCTAAAATAAGGTCTCAGATTTCCAACAGGAGCATCGACATTAAACAATACAGACCCACACCATGTGGAAAGAAAAAAAAATTTTTTAATTTTTTTTATTAAACAAATTGAATGTGTGAGTATATAAGGGTTACTTACCATCGTCTGAAGAAGCACAATCATAGTATTGAAATATGAAAATTCAAAATGTTTTTATTATAATCTCTTATAATAAAAATATAATATATATATATATATATATATATATATATATATATATATATATACATACACACACACACACACACACACACACACACACACACACACACACACACGGTGTAACAGCAAATTGTCCAATTAAGCTTTGAACTGTTGTATTTTAGAAATGATTAAAGTTATGTTAGTGGAATTCTCCAAGGTTTTTATAACACTATTGCACTCTAGTTTGAACAATAAGAATGTACTATTACTCTCCAAGCTTAACAGGAGAATCATAATGAAATCGATCATAAATGGAAATGACATGTTCATCATTAATAATTAATCACAGCTAAGGATCAGAAGCTCATAAAGGATTGAAATAAAGTTCAATATATATATATATATATATATATATATATATATATATATATATATATATATAATTTTTTTGTTTAAAAATATGATTCCTTCGCTACATAAGAGTTCTCATGTTTCAAAAACGAGAGCTGAAGCCATCCAAATAATTATTAAAATTAAGTTGAATTGAGGTGTTTAGTCTCATTTCATCTTCAACCGAAATTTTAGGAATAGGCTATCTCTCGGTTTACGTGTGTTTTTAGGTATGGTCCATTAACCAAATTTGTTGTGGGAGTGGCTAGACTATTTTTCTTCGTTAAGTGGTCAGAGAGTTAATTCTTATCAATAGATTCATCATCTTCTGAGAGGTTTTGCTAAGGTTGGGTAGGGTATCTATTTCAAGGCTAATGTTTGCGGTCACCCTTTAGTTGGTTCCCAGTGAGGGATATTTTTATGGCGTGCCTACAAGTCGTTATGTGTCGGGAGGATTGTGTTTTATTATTGTCCATCTCATTTATTTATTTGTTTATTCAAGTGTGTGTTTTATATACTAATCGTATTGCACTGAATTTCAATTTGTTTTTTGACGACTACAGAAAGGCTTTTTCCTATTTAATGATTTGGCTAAGCTTTTAAGACTTTTATTTAGCTATGGGATTTTTTTTTTTTTTTTATGCTAATTATTTAATGCGAAATTTGTTGATGTTGGCAAAAAACCATTAACTCCTGCCTATGGTTTAATAATTTTTCATTATTTAGAAATTTGATGATGTGTAGTTTTTCCTGTAGGCATAAAGGGCATGGGTCATCCCAGGTTTTACAAGTTCTTGTTTTTATTTACTATTTTAAGTAAAATGGAAAATAGTAAATAAAACAAGAACTTGTAAAACCTGGGATGACCCATGCCTTTATGCCTACAGGAAAAACTACACATCATTAAATTTCTAAATAATGAAAAATTGATTTCTTTAACTCCAAGTTGAAATGATAATCCTTCTTCCTCTTGTGACTTCCTGATCCAGTTTTCCTCTCTACTGTTTCCTCTTTTTTAAACTTATTTACCATTTTCTTAATGGTACTTAAATAGACTTTGAAGATGGAAGCCAGAGTATCAATGTTGGTACCATTATGGAAGGCCTGAATGATGTTTTTTCTCTCACCATTGATCAGTTGGGAAGACATAGTGGGTCTGACACAAAATGATTTTAAAATTGTTCTCTTTCTAGCTGAATAACTAAAAGAGTTTTTCAGTGATTCTTACGAAAAATGTGTCAAGATGCCTAAACATTTTATCAGAAAACCTGGAAAAAAGAAACTCAATTAGTTTAGTGGGTTTTTTTTGGGGGGGATGGACAATTATGCTGTTACACCCGGTATATGATGATGGACTCTCCCTGTTGATTTCAATGCATGAGGATCAGACAACCTCATTCAGTTTTTATGTTTGTCATATGAAACAACTTCAGTGCTGCTAGTGACCTGCATAAAAGTCTACTTATTGTGCAACAGTGCAAATCTCAGGACATAGCCACAGGAATATTTGTTAGCGCTTTTTGTTATAGTCTTTCTTCACTTAGCTGGTCGATAGGACTGATTTTTAAATTTCTGATACCGCTCTGGCACAAATATCACCAGTTATTTTTATCCAGAGCAACTCGCTCAAAGTTAATACGAGGCACATTGACAGCTGAGAGGTGACTCTTTAGCTTATCTTTATACCCAAGCGACAGCCATCCAACAATCCTTTGTCCACTGTCAATCTGGCTATGTATGAGGACTTTAGGTATTATATTGTCACTCACCGTTGCAACATGATCAGCACAGCAAAATTGTGACATCAGATTGGAATGAAAGACAAACCTGTGTTTAAGTGCACTGGAATTTTTAAGAAAGTGTAATAAATAACTTTATCTGATCAAACAACCAGAATGTGCTTTTTCTTTTTTGTTTGTATTGAAGCTGCTAACATCTGCTTGATTTGAAATCAGCTCATTCCAAGTTGATCTGAATTTTTTTTTTCTTTCTTTACAAGTTTGTATACTGAATTGTGTTAGTATAAAAAAATTAAAAGTTCAGGTGACACTTTCAAGCAGGAGAACCTTTTAAATAAAATTTTTTTCACCTTTACAAAATTATTGTTCTTTTTCGAGGAGTTGGGAAAGAGAAATTAAAAAAGAAAATTGTTTCAAAGTATGTACAGTGTTTTAAATAGGTATTTATTATAGGTATTTATTAGGTTGTCTCATAAATAATTTCCGTTTTTTTTTGTTTTTTTATTTAATCAACTTTATTCTTCCAAAAAACTAAAGTATGATTAGACCTTATTTGCTGTAACCTAGGGAAGGTTACTAAATAGAATAATCATACAAAGGTTGATAATGAACAATAATACTTAGGACAAGAACAACACATAAGATTTGCCAACAGCGCGTAGAAGTAGTCAACTGCTAGAAGTGAGTCAAGTGAATTCCACAATGAATCTCCGACTGCAGACCAACATTTACTATTTACTACTGTATTTATGTGAATGTGGACATTATTGTCTGTAGCTATGCTACAACATTACTCAATTATATATTAACCATTATTTACAATGACTTGTTATTTATCAGACACCTCTTACATTGCTTTTGAGTAAAATACTTCAGGTTTCAATATGAGAAAGTTTTCAACAAAATCTTGAATCTGATTTTCATTAGAAAAAGATTTCCCCATCAAAGCATTTTTCAGCAATTGATAAAATGTAATAATCAGTTGGTGCAAGGTCAGGTGAATATGACGAGTCGGGTAGAAATAGATCAACCAAGTTCCAATATATTTTCTTGTTTTATTCTTGCTGTATGAGGTGTTGAGTTGCCATGGAGGAGAGCAACATTTTCTTTTAATCCACTGTGTACGCTGCCACTGGCATTCAAAAACTAGGGTTAGGTTAATATACAACAAATTTATTGTTAACGATCATGTATGATTAGTAGTTTCGATGGTACATTCATCTTTACAATTGGTACACAAAAATGGAAATTACTTATTACTAAAGATAATACAAAATTTACCTTAATCTAGCATAAGGTCATTCAGGGAAGGTCAAATTGAAAATTGAACTCCTGACTTTGACAAAATTAAGTTGTTTGGTCATTTAATCCAATTTTGGGAAGTAGGTCAGACTGAGAACTTTTCTTTAGTATGATTAGTATTAGTACCACTAGTAATGCAATTGCGAGTGTTCACCATCATCATATGGGAGGTAGCCTAATGGTTGGGCCCTATGGGAAAAAGAATGAAACTTCAAATTACAAATCAGGCCACGTGTGTTCATATCATTATCACACTTTGAAAAAGGCATGAATTCATCTCTCTGCACTGTTCCAGAAATGTTGACAAAAGTCTAACTGACATGTCATGAGTATAGTCAGATACTAGTAGCATATAACATGGTACTATCCCACAAAGTGAAAATGGGTACTGCCATTTAATTTCTTGTCCTAGGGAAGGAGCCAGAAGAGCACTCCTACAACCATAGCACATTTTTACTTTTTTTTTTTAATATTCAAATTCACCCATTACAAGGCTCAAGAGCCCACCTGTGGTTTATACTGCAACTATGCTGAGCAGACCTTAGTTACAGTTTCTTAGTGCAGTATCTGGTACAGTCAGCAATCTGAACAAGGCCAATATGCTGAAACCCTCAGTCACAATGACTTGTGAGTATACTAGCAGAATCATTGATGGCTACCGAATATAATTCTTACTATCTAATTTCACTTCAAAAGCTTGAGTCAACCCATGATTTGATTTTCAGGCACTTTCCAAACGTGCTGCATGCTGGGATTGCCTACCCTAGCTGATAACATCAAGAATTCACCTTCTTGCAATCAAAAATTATTATTTAAAAAAATAAAATAAATAAATAATAAAAAAAAAAATACTTACCCATCCACCCTGAGAAATTATCCATTGAGCAATATGGTTTCTTACAAATTGTATAACACAGTCAATGATTCTTGTGAACAATTGTACAAATGAACTGTTTCTGAGGAAACGGCAAGCAAGATAATAACCAAAGCAGAAAAGTGTCAAGATTCTTCCCCAATTAGCTTCCTGAGTTAACATACTGAAAGAAAAAGAAAACAATTTTCAATATATAAAAAAAAAAAAAAAACACACAAATGAAAGCAAGGTGCAACCAGGGCCAGTGCGTACTACCCTGACCAGAAGGTTTGCGGGGGGTGCAGCTTGATTGGTTAAAAGGCTGGAAAATTTTGATGTCATTCTGTGATCTTTTTCTGTCCAAATCTCTGAATTTGTTTTGCTCATGATAAATCTCAATATATATTATATATATATATAATTCATTATTTTGTATCCATAATGTTGAAGGTGCTAAAATTATTCAACTTTTTAACATGTAAAATCTCAAGCTGACATTGTTGATTTATTTAAGACTAGCATAAAAGTCACACTCCACACAGACTTTTAAGTTAGTTCCTGTGTAGGGCTAATTGGGCTTCCAGCCTAAAACTAAAGACTCCAGCTTAGAAAACAGCAATGATAATTTTGAAGAAATAAATTTGAATTCCTCAATTCATTTGGAACTCAAAAACCTCACTTTTGAGTAAAGACTATAAGTCCCATTTCAGCTAAAAGACCAATTTGGGCTAAAATTTCAATTCAGGTTGAAAACAGAGTTCTTCAAATCACAATCTGCTGCACTTCAAAACCTCATGTCATGTAACCTCTCAATTTAATTAGGATTCCTTGGCATTTTGAAGAAATAAAATTGATTCACAAAGTTTTGGAGATATTTTAAACTGAATTTTAAACAAAATTTTTTAAATTCACAAAGTTTTTGTGTTACTTTAAACTCAGTGTAAATTAAAAACTTTAAATCACTAATTTTTTTTCAGTTATTTTAAAATTTGAATTTTTAACTGTTCTCTCATCATCCGGACACAAATCCTAATGCTGGATGTTCAAGCACCAAATGGAGGGCAGATCTTCAATCCTGGGATCATCCTTATTCCAAAAAGGTATAATATGTCTATGTAGAGTAAGTGTGGCCCAAGTTAGAGGGATAGACAGAATTTACTGTTATTACGAAGATGGAATGATCTATTATGACATGTCTCTAATTTGTTACATACATTGTACTTATTTTCAATTCTTCTAATAGAATTGTTCAACTATATTGCATATGAGCCATTATTGTGCATAATTATTAGGTTACAATAAAATTTTTATTTTATATGACTACTACCTTATGAAAATAGAGAAGGAGTAGAGTTGGGGTGAGGGGCCTGTAGCATATATTTGTGTGTGTGTGTGTGTGTGTGTGTGTGTGTGTGTGTGTGTGTGTGTGCATGCTGGGGTTGGACACACAGCCCTGAGTGCAAATAATACAACAGTTTCAATTTCATGGGGAATATGTTCCAAGACCCCCAGTAGATGTCTGAAATTGCTTAGAGTACCGTACTCAATATAAGGAGGCTGTTGAAAAGTTACTGGGTTGACTAAGAAGGGATAACCAAAATTTTTTCCAACATTTGGTAGTTTGGTCAAATTTTCAAAAGTAAGTAGGGCTGAGGATTTTTTTATAGCAACCTCTCATATATACCGTATCTTTTTCTATATACATACATATCTATTTACACCTTTTATATTTAGACTATTGTCACAATGTTTCAGCTGTTGTGTCCTCCAGACTTCTTCAGGTGTACATTGATCTGGGTAACCTTTAGCGAATTCTGAATTGAACCCTTTAAACTATAGAGGTAAACTGTTTCATTCCACTACCCATGTCTATTTTCCTAAAATATTTTAAGATTACTGTAGTTAAAAATTACATAAAACGAGCACTTGCATTATATCCCTCAAGTAAATTTGATATATATATATATATATATATATATATATATATATATATATAAAATAACTATATATATAATAATATATATATATATATATATATATATATATATATTATATATTCATGAATTATTCATACAAAAAAACAAACACAAAGGTTAATGATTTAATTGGCGAGAAATCCATCGTCGCGAACAATTCAAATAATATACAAAACCCCGAACCTGTTTATGAATGAAAAGATCCTTGTTTCTATAAATTTCTGTTGCATGTTCTTATTATTTTTACAAGCTTTCGTCTGTTCTTACAGACATCCTCAGGTATAGAATAGATTTTGTTCTTGTTTTTACTCTCAGTAATAAGAGGACAACGAAAATATATGTATTGTTGTAATCTGAAAAATGCTATTAGAAATGAGTTATTGTTTTTGGAACGTGCAGTTGCAACGCTGAGTTTGAATTTAAATTTTACAATTGTGCGTTCTTATACAAATATGGTGATAAGTGAATTCTTTTTACTGAAAAATTTTCTGTCAAAGTGGCATGAACTTTATTGTTCAATAATTACAGTAATGTCGCACTTATTATCCAAAAGTTGCATTTGGATCAGTTATTTTAATTTCAATATCTGTTTTTTCAGATTGAATAATATAATCTGTAATAGTTTCAGTGCTGACTTTGTGGAGGGAGAGGGAGAGAGAGAGAGAGTGACAAGTCAGCCGCAAACCACCTGACTCTGCAGATCTGGACCGAGTCAAGTGAAAACACAACGTGTCTCATTTTATTGGCTAACAAAAATATCCCAGTATGCATTTCATGTCCTTCTGACTATCATTTCCTCCCCCTGACTGTCTGTGAAATGAACAAAAACTGTTAATGTCTGTTTACTAGGTTGGTGTTTTCCGAGGAGAATGAAAGGACAAAACTGGCTGTTTTTTTTTTTTGTATTAAAGCTGTTTATGTCTACTGGATTTGAAACTAACCCATCCTTAGTAGGTCTTTGTTATTCTATTAGCTTGTTTACTAGTGTCAGTGAGTGTGTGATATATTATGACTAAATAGAGTGAATAACATATTATATGAAGGTCAAATGCATTGTCATTATAAACCTTTCCTATGTTGTCCCATTTCTTCACTTTTGCTCAGATTTTATATCTTAATATATATATATATATATATATATATATATATAAAAATAAAATGTGTGTCAATATGTCAATATCTATAAATATACCAATGGACACATGTGCATATATATATACAATCAATCAAATATATTTTTTTTTTAATAAAGCAAGATGAATGAAATACTAATCTGTTTTCATATACTTGGGAATATTTCAAAAAAAAAAAAAAAAAAAAAAAAAAAAAAAAAAAAAATAAAAAAACAAAGGGGGGAAAAAAAACCTTGAAAAGGGGGTTTTTGCTTATAAAAAAAAAGAGGACTATAAATTTTGGCCTAGTGAAACCAAGAAGTTTCCTTGATTGTATTGGCTAAGGCAATGTCCATGCTCTCAAAAAAATAGGATGCAAATTTAAGCTTCTCGCATGATGCTTCTTTATTTCAACTTTATGCTGTGACCTACAAAACTATGATAAATACTAACAAAATTGACTTGAAAAATTTATCAGAAATTAATAACAAAAATACTTCATCTCATCATTCAACCATCTTGTCAGCAGAATTACACTTGATATTTCCTTTTTTTTCTAACCCCCACCCATCCTCCAGATCAATTGTAGTTCAAAATAAATCAAAATCAAGAGATACCTGATGACAATTTTAGAAAATTTTTCATATACTGTTTCACTTGACATGTCCAGTTCATTTGCTATTTGTTCAAACTGTGTTTTGTATTCCTTATTAACATCATCTCCAATCCGGGCCAATTGTCGTCCAATTTGAGCCAAACTAAAAGAAAAGCAAAGCAAAAATGTGAATACAATATAAAAATTAGTTTGGGCATGTGAAAAACTGAAAGTAATATAAACAAAATACAGGTTTCCCCCTTTTCCCTCCAAAAATAGACTGTTCCTATTACACCTCTTCTAAGCTAAAATGGTATGAAACAAAGATGCAATGGAGAGAAGAAGAAATTCTTTTTACCATTCCCAGACCCTTAAAATAATTTCAGAAAGGTGTGGCACAATGGGTTCCAGCTTGAATTGGTTTAAGACATGTACAAAGCCAAGTAAGGGTTTTAGGTTTTATGACCAGTAGTATAATCTAAAAAAAAAAAAAAAAAAAAAAAAAAGATATCTTCAAAGTGATCACTCATTATCAAGAAGTAGTAAGAGTGGGGAGTAAATAAATAAATAAAAACTTTTGGGATAAAGTGCCACTTGGCTGGAAATTAGAGAAATCCAATTGTAGCGTATAGAGGTAGGGTCACTAGGGGGACAATCAGCCATGCACTGAAATGAAGTGAGATGGGCAGAGTGGTACTAGGATAGAGTTGACAGCCAATGAAAACAGAGTAAGAGAGGTGTAGAGTGGGAATCTTTGTTGGATGAATGGAAAATTTCGTCCATTAGCCTGGTCACTTATCTATCTACTCGCCAAATCCCACACCAGGTGAGAGTTTAATTTTCCATTTCATTATTTACAGGCAGATTATTGTCCTCATCAATGTTGTTGTTGTTATCACAATATTTTGGCCTTTGAGCTCTCTGATCTTCATCAGGCTGATCTAGGTAACCTTTAGTGAATTGAACACTGAAACCTTTATTTAATCTATGGGAAGAGACTGTTCTTCGTCCACTGTCAACGTCTCAAGATATCTCATGTTCTTATTTAGTACTGCTCATTTATTGTTCATTTACTAACAATTACTGTCATGAAATTCACAAATCAATGCTTTAATCCACTAGGCTATTGTTCTGGATTGACGAGCACCTGATGAAGGCTGGAGGGCACAAGAGTTGAAATATGGTGATAATAACAACAAAGATTAGGACAATAGTTTGCATATAAATAATGATAACTCTTCATCCCAGAAATTCAGACAGAAGATAATGTGTGTCTACAAATAAAATTGAATACAAAAATGGAGAACAATATAAACAAAAGCAGTAGAAGGCAATATAATTTAGTTTAGCTCAGCTTATAACAATGAAATAAACAAAAAGATAGGTAAAATATCTTTCCATTTAATTAAAAGACATTTCCTTAAAAATAATGAATTATCAAAATTTATCAAAAGTAATAATATTAAGTCACAGTTGCATGGAAAATATAGAAAAAATAATAAAAAAACATAATAAAAAAAATTAACAAACAATAATAATATCTATAACAGCAGTAATACTAGTGTTTTTCCTTTTATTTTTAAAAGAATTTAAAATAGAGCACTCTTATAAACAAAAAGAATATGCAAATCATATATATATATATATATATATATATATATAATACATACACAGTAGGTGAATATACATAAACATTCATGTAGTGCATATAATCACACTGAAATTGTCTGAAGTTCATTTCAGAAGAAAAGTACAGAAAATATGCTCCAAGTTTTTGACTTTAACAATTCTGATGGAATTTCCTCTTTATCTAAGAAAGATTATTCATAATTTGGAAAAGTTGATCAATAAAATTAATTGACACAAAACGTCTGTCATTCTTAATAGTATTTTTGCCTTAAAGATCATTTGCTTCCTAAATACACAAACTAATCACACTGAGTACACACACACACATTAAATATATATATATATATATATATATATATATATATATATATATATATATATATATATAAAATGCCTAAATTATATTAAGCTAGCCTTACCGATCATTTTGCTGTGAGCTGAGGCCACCTAATAATATCACGTTATTGACTTGACTGGGGTCATCCTGTCGGAAATTTTCAATAACAAAATGTATAAACACCTCTCTTGTCTCTCGGTCAACTTGATCCATTACCAGATTTTGACCATCACCGCTTCCAAGTGGCGCCGACATTTTGTTAGCAGACACCTTTGAGTAAAACAAGAAAAAAAAAATTTTTTTTTTTTTTTTTTTTAAAAACATTATTACAAGTGATTAATATCAAAGCAAAAACAATTATGCACAAATATCCTTGAGAAATGTATGCCTCAATCTCCTCACCCTCCCAGTTATGAGTTAGTAGTGAGTGCCCAAATTTTTTTCTCTGGACCACTTGTGCTAATTTTGTGATAAAAAGTACATGTAAAATTAAAAAAAAAAAACAAAACAAAAAAACAAAACAGAGTGGGTTCAGGGGAGATAACTGTGAATTGCAAGTCAGAACCTTATCAATTTGTGTGGATCAGTCTTAAATTAAGACTCTTAATTGTTGATATGATGTAAAAATATCACAATGATAAAATAGGTCAATCATTATTTTTATAACTAGAGATGTGCGGTTAAACCGAAAACACGACTTTTTTCAGTTTCATCTTCATACCATGAAAACTACATCGAAATTTTTTATGGAACCGAACAATTTTGTTTTTTTTTATTTTATCACTAATGACTATCATATACAAAGAAACAGTATTGAAAAGAACTTTCAGGTGTGAATAATAAAATTAAATTTTATCAACATTTATATCATTGTAAGAGAAAAAGATTGAACAAAAAAAAACGTTAAAAATATTTAATTGACTAATTTTAATAAATAAATATGAAATCTATTTGTTTACAAAAGAAATGAGGAAAAAAGGAAATGCATGTTTTAAAAGTGAAAATCTATTTGTTTAAAAAAAAAAATTTGCAGTAAAATTAAGTTAACAAAATAGCGAAAAAAAAAAAAAAAAAAAAAAAAAAAAAAAAAATGTTGCCAGGTTCATCTTCTTAAATGTTAAATTTTATGATGTCAGATTTTTTGTAAGGGTTTTACTTTATTTTAAGCCAGTTACGCCAATCACGAAATAAAGTTATAAACAAGAAAATGAATGAAGATATATAGATATATATATATATATATATATATATATATATATATATATATATTTTTTTTTTTTTATCTGGGGTATGCACCTAAATTAGATATTAAGAGTAATTGAAATAGTTAATTTCACTTTTAAAAGATGTGTATACTTCCAGATATGTGAATGTGAGTCACTGTTTTAAGTTTTCTACAAATAAAATTAGGTTTCTATCTACTGAATACACGTAAAATTAGATATTAATTAAAAAAAATAAAGTTTTAATCTCATTTTTAAAATGTGTACATTTTCAAAAACTGCAAGTTATTTTTTTAAAACCCAAAGTAAGAATTATTGATTTCTTTTTAGCCACAAGTGTTCCGATGGTGTTTCTTACTGTTCTGGCTATAAAATTCTTCTAAACAAGGAAAATTAATTCATTTTATTTTTACAAACATCTATATGGTTTATTTTGCGAATAATACACTTAAGTAAGATTATATTAAAATGATTAAAATAGTTTTTAATTTTGGTTTTAAAATGTGTATCTAAAAAAAGAACAGGTGATACTCACAGATTTGGAAATCTACACATTCTAAAAATGAAACTAAAAGCTTATAGTTATTTTTAATATTTAATTTTAGGTGTATTCGCTAGATAAAAACATAAAAGGGAAAAATAACTCATTGATTTTCCTTGTTTAAAAGATATTCATTTGCAAAACCCCAATAATAGTTGACTGGCATACCAGAAAAGAATTGCAATATTTTTTTTCTTGCTTACTTTATAATTTTTGAAGGAATTCGCTTCCATGTGTCAGAGGAAATGAACATCTTCCTGGTTGTAGTTTAAGTTGTCTTCTAATTGAGTGTACACTTTCAAGAATATTGATAAAGATTGGTCACTTTGATTTTGTGAAACAAAGGAACATGTAAAATTTAGTCTCAAAAAAAAAAAAAAATAAAAAAAATAAATAAATAAATAAAATAAAAAATAAAATCATTTCGCATTTTTGGCTGTTCAAAGCAAAATACTGCATTAAAAAAATAATTCAGTGAATAAAAGCACATACAAATTACATATTTAGAAAGATTATTTTATTTTCTTTCTAGCCATATGAATATTTTTAAGATTGGACCAGAAATACATGAGAATTTGTGAGTTGAACGGATTAAGTATTATCAATTTCAAATGAAATCAGATATCGACTGGAAATGTTATCATTACACAAGAAAATGAATGACTTCCTTAGAAAGCAAAAATACTAAATTAAAAACTGAATCGAAAAACACGGTATCAAGGAAAAGAAAACCAGAAACCAACCAACTCTATAGCTATTTATACTGGGACTCATGTATGCAATTACAAATAATCCATCATAATATTTTAAGTTCTGAAATCATATTTTTGGTATATGAATTTTTAAAAACTTTTTATAAATCTTTGATTGTCTGAATCATTTCACTTCGCCTCTTCCGCCATGTGTATTGCACGCTTGATCATTTGAAAACTATGGGGTTAAATAGTAGGATTTGTATCCATGATAATCATTGCTATTCTTTAAAAATTGATGATGCAATATTCACTTGAAAAAAAAAAAAAAAAAAATTCCACAAAGGTTGATAAGTCAAATTAACCAATCAATCTATTTTTGCGGAAACTCCCCAGAGATATGGTAGCATCCATTGATTCTTAGAATTATTTAAAAAGAAAAAAAAAAAAATGGCTGTGCTAATTATAAAATATCTCGACCATGGATTGATTAATTTATTTTTATGGAGGATATTTAAAACCAGAAAATAGTTTTACATTGTAAATATTGTTCAGTGATGATAAAGATTTACTGGTCCAAGTCATACCCATAGCTGAAAGGAGAAGAGGTGGATTCATGCCTTTACCCGACTGGAATTGGAACTTGACTCTCCAATTTCAAGCTGTTATCTATTATACCACCTACACATCCACGCTTACAGCACCTGGTATTCCCAAGTGGTCACCCATTCAGGTCTGAAGTTGTTTGACTTTGGTGACTATACAAGAACTGTTGTTTTAATGTTATATGGTCATAAAACCTCAACCATGGAAACTTTTATGGTCAGAAAAGGTTTTTAGAGTCATTCTACTAATGTATCATTTCAGTTCTTTGATACAATATCATATGGGAGTCATCATCCATTGTACTAATAATACTAACAGTCTTAAGTTGTTTTTGAGATTTTGAAAGAATTTATGCACTGGCCATAGAAGATAAGCTCTTAAAGTTCAGAATGACTTTCAGCCTAGAATCTAATTCAATTTCATGTTGTATACTTTAAACAGTCAAGTGGGTCAGGTGGAATTGTTATAATTACATGCAAAAATCATAAAAAATGCTCCATCTTAAAAATTTCAGATTGAATCAGTTGCTAGGTCCACCACTAGGAAAGCTGGTTCACTGTATTATGCCAGACAATTTTTCTTGACAGAATACATCTTGCACATTTATAAATCTACCATTTGTCCACACATTGAATATCACTGCCATATCTGGTCTATTGCTCCTGATATATATATATATATATATATATATATATATATATATATATATATGTGTGTGTGTGTGTGTGTGTGAGTTTCTCAACAAAATCTAAGAAGGATATGCAATGTTATTGGTACTGACTTGGCATCTCAACTTCAGTCACTTTCCCACCACTGTTATGTGGCTTTTCTGTCTTTTCTATAAATATTTTCATGGTAATTGTTCTAATGAGCTCACTTCCCTGGACCTCAACTGCATGAACTTAAGTTCAGTACTAGATTGGCAACTAGGTCTCATCATTTTACTGTTAAATTAGCTAGATGTAATCTTGTTCTAGTCTAATCATTTCTTTTCTTGCATTTCTTGCCTGTGAAACTTTTTCCCAGCTTCTTATTGACCTGCCACCTACAATCTTTAAAAATTTAAATGTAACAACAATTGCAATCTTCTGTCTTCCTGGATTTTGTTCTTTGATCGTCCTTTCTCCTCACTAAAGACATCTTATTCTCTTTACCACCCAGTAATCCCTTGTATTTTGGCATTATCATCTTGCTTGAGGAAAAAAAACTTGGTCTACTAACAAGAAGTGTAAAATTTAGTTGTTCAGCTTCATCAAATCTCACCCAATTCACTATTTGTAGTTCAATCTTGCAATCAAAGACATTCAGATAAGTTACTTTTTCCAAGAAAATAGTCAAAATAAATACCTCTTATTGTAATATTAGTTGGTTCCTTATAAGGAAACATTTGGCATTCACTGACAGAGCAGCTAGTGCTACCGTCAATTGAAATTTATAAAATCTTTCTATTAAAACATTTTTTCATGAAATGGGTTTTTCAAGTTCAGTAACTGTTATGGATCTTTCCATTACTGATGGGGGTTTCCTTCCTAACCTTTTGTTTGAAGTAATGTGGAATGTCAACATTTCATGTCATTATTTTCTTTTTGAGTTACATTCAATATTTATTTTAGTTGTTGCTGCTGCTATTAGAAGTCCTCAAATGATGTGGTTTCCATTATTTGGTACAAATAGCACCATTCCACAAGATTCAAAAGAGGATGGTCCTCACTAAGATCTACAGAGTTCACTTGCTCAAAGTTATTTTTAGCCATCAATCTGAAAAAGTGGCCTAATACAACTGACAGTGTAGATATTTCTGAATGAGTTTGTTGCCATGCATGAAATCCATATCAAAGTCTTGTTCTGATGAGACTATTTAAGGAGATGACTCAAGTTTTTGCGTTAATGTTTTGGTTTTGTAGCAATTAGCTGTGTTGTGGGAAATTATCCCAGCGCAGCCTATTTTATTTCCAATTTCCTTATCTCTGATACTACATTTTTTATAACTCATCCATACATCAAGATATTTGAAGTGTTTGGTATTTACAAGTTCCATATCCTTAATTTTTATGATGGATTCAGGGTAGGTACCATCACTGCTTTCATTCCGATTCCATATCATAATTTCTGTTTTAGAAATGTTTATCTAGAGTCCTGTTTCTTGAAACTCTTGGTAAAGGATGTGGATCCTAGAAATATGCCTAGTAGAACCAATTTCTGTCACTA